CAAGTGAGATTGTTGTAGGGACAAACGAGGCAAGGCACCAAAGATAGCAGTTTTATTTGGCTGCAGCCAGGTTCAGAGGGCACAGCTTTTGCTGTAATCAATTAATCCCCTGAACCCTGAGTTCAGGGAGTTTCAGAGTTTTATACCCAGCATGTAAGGGGAGGGGCTCAGAAGTTCATAGTCTGCCGAAGTTCACATAAAAGCAGTTTTTTTCTTTCACTCTTTTGGGCAAGTTAACTCTTTAAGGACAACATCTGAGAAGGGGAGAGCTTCTTCTCCCCTTTCTTTCCTCCCCCTGCCAGCTGTTACCATGGAGCCCAATCGTAACTTATCTTAAAAATGTAGACATCTCTGTGAAGCCCCAGCTCAAGGCCAGAGGCCTTGTTTGCACAGTTCTACAAAGTACTATACTGGATATGTTTGTGAAAAACTAGTAAGGGGGTGTCCAGCACCTGGAGTGCTGGTATCTTCCCAGCCAGTGGCCAAGTAAAACAGGGCTACACGAAAATAGGAAGTTTATCTATATTGAACTCTTTTGCAGATATTCTTTTGCTGACAGTCCTAAAATCAGCCATGGTGAAGAGGGCTTTTCTGTGGAGAAAGGAGGTGCCACTTCAAGATAAAGGGCAGGAAATGTCCATATGCAGAAGTTAGTCTGTGCTGCACAGGCCTGAGGAGGGGCTCTCTTCTCTCTCAGCTTCTTGGCATCCATGGGGCTATGGGGGCTGCCTTTGAGGCTTCATTCTCAGCAAGGGGGAGTTGTTCCCAATTGGGAGAACAACTGAATTCAACAACTGAATTGGGGGAACAACAAATTCCCCTGAATTCATACTGTGTCACAATTTTCAAAAAGCTCACAAAACATACAAGAAACAACTAGGATCCATTCAAAGGAAAGGCAAACAAATTGACCAAACTGTCCACGAGTCCAGACATTGGACTTAATAGACAAACGTGTTAAAACACTGGTCTTCTATACAATAAAAACCTAAAGGAAACCATGAACATGAACTAAAGGAAACCAGGAAAAACCATGCCTAAACAAAATGAGAATAACAATAAAGAGAGAGGAATAATAAAAAGAAACCAAGTAGAAATTATGGAGCTTTAAAGTATGATAACTGAAATGAAAGATTCACAAAGGGATTCAGAGCATATTTAAACATGCAGAAAAAAGAATTAACATATTTTAAGATAGGACAGTTGAAATTATCCATTCTGTGGAGCAAAATGGAAAAAGAATGAAGAAAAGTAAGCAAAGACTAAGCTACCTACAGAACACCATCAAATAGATCAATATATGTATTATGGTAATCTCGGAAGGAGAATAGAGAGAGAAAGAAATGAAGAATTTTTGGATGAATGAAAAATTTCCCAGTTTGATTAAAAACATGAATCTACACATTATGCTAACTGAAATAAGCCAGACACAAATCATAAATATTGTATGATTCTACTCATATGAAATAGCTAGAATAAGCAAATTCAGACAGATAGAAAATAAATTAGAGTTTATTGGAGACTGGGAAAAAGGAAAAATGGGGAGTTGCTTAGTGAGCAGAATTTCTGTTTGTGCTGATGAAAGGGTTCTGGACATGGTTAGTGGTAGTGGTTGCATAACATTGTAAATGTAATTAATGTCTCTGAATTCTATTCTTTAAATGGCTAATTTTGTGTTATACACATTTTACCATAAAATTTCTTTAAAGAGTGATAAATTGTACTTCAAAAAATATATAAACAAAATGTGACTAGCAATTTTAAGATGCTTAAATATTTAATTTAATTTACCGAATTCCTTCTCTGGGAGTTAGTGTTATGTCTCATTTTACACAGACAAAATAGGTCTAATTGATAGGTTAATAACTCCAATATTTGCAAATGTGACCAGTGTTTAGTTACCTTTCTAGGGACTAGTAATAATTATGAGCTCTTAGGTTATAGGTGTTCCCTGTATGATCCCTGAATTTACATTTTATTCAAGAGTTTCTATTATAATATTATGGAATAAAGAAACCCAATACTTACAACTATTAAGAGAAAATAATTAGCATATTAATACTGCTAGAAAGAGGAATCTGTGTTAGCAGATTCCAGATTTCTGACTTGGTTCCTTTATTCTTCTCATACATTATAGTGATTTGTTAAAAACAAGCAAACAAACATAAAATTCCAAATCACTTCTTAGTTTTTGGATAATCCCATATACATTTAATACCCAATTATCTTTTTGCTATCAAGGCGTAATTTGTCTACATTGTGACACTTGCTATTGTTATATTTAAATATTTTAAGTTAAAATTTAGGAGGTTTCACACATTTGAGAGGCAACTCATTTAATAATAAACTAAAGTTAAATATGCACTTCATTTAATGGTGGCATGAGCTTCAGGAAGATTCTCTCAAGAGACTTGTGAGTTGACTTTTTCTTCTTCTCAATAAAAGCAGAATTTTATTAAAGCAGTGCAAACAAAACCCACATTTAAAAGAATTGCTAAACTGACTGAGCAGATATCAGTGCAATTCATACAAGGTAAACGAAGAGACAGGTAAAAATTTCTGCTCTCAAGGAGATTGCATTCATCAGTTTTTCATTACTATAACAAATATCTGAGATAAATGACTTATAAAAAGAAGGGTTTACTTTAGCTCATAGTTTGGGAGGTTCCAATCTATGATCAGTTGTCCTGTTTGCTTTGGGCCTGCCATGAGGCTGCTCATCATGATGGGAGTGTATGGCGTGGAGCGAAAAAGAAATAGAAAGGACCCAGGGTCCTGCTACTGGGGGCATGCCCCCAGTGACCTAAAAACCTCCCACTAGGCCCCACCTCTTAAAGTGTCCACCACCTCCTAATAGTGCCATCCTAGGGACCATGAATTTAACACATGGGGCTTTGGGGGAACATTCCAGATCTAAACTATAGCAGAGTTTATAGCTAAGAATGAGAATAAATCACAGATATTACATCCTGCATTCATATATGAGGTGAAAACAAAGTATCCCATTCCAAGATTCTGAAATGGAAGAGACTGGGATTTCAACTGTAACAAGGGAATTTATGGAACCACGGAGTCTTATAGGGTCTGGAAAAGTGGGAGCTCAATTTTAGTGGTCCCTCTTTACCCCTGTTGCTGGAACCTGCCATTTCTGGGAAAGAAAAATTTGTCACTCACTGCTTCTATTGTAGTAAAATGGTACCACTTTCAAAGAGAAGTTTCTTGGGTACCTTGCTACTGCTTCCACCCAAGAACAAAAACGGAGAGGATTCCTCCAAACTGCCTCTTGGGGACCTCTATGCTCTTGCTCTTGTTTCCTGATCACACTCCAGAAGGACGCTAAGAGACTTTGGAAAGACCACCTGAGCAGTTGATAATACCTATTTTCCTCTGGCTCCAGCTGGATTTACACTATAAATGCATCACTATGTTAGCTGGTTCTCTTTTTTAAAGATATTTTTTAGTTATAGATGGATGCAATATCTTTATTTCGTTTATTCCTTTTTATGAGGTGCTGAGGATCGAACCCAGTGCCTCACATGTGCGAGGCAAGCACTCTGTCACTGAGCCACAACCCCAACCCCTGAGCTGGTTCTCTTGATTTTCATATTTTATTTATGTATTTTATCCCCTATTTATTGATAATTTTTAATAAGAATATTCCCCAGAGAAGGGTACAACATTTCACATTAAGGAAACTCTGTAGGCTTATCAAATCTGCTTTCTGGTTGCTGTAGGAGACAGTTGTAGAATGGAGGCCCAGGGACTCCATTTCCTCCTACTTTCTAGCTGCCCTGGAGATGGACTCAGGTCCTCATCTGGGGGTATCAGCAAGCCACTCTTAATAAGTAGAGTGTATTTTCTGGTTTCAGAACAGAACCATGCCTAATATGAACACTGAAGTCCCACACTAAAGAGACCCAGAAGTCCTGCAGCAGACTCTTGTCTCTGGTCTAAGACCTCACAGCAGATCCAGAGGAAAAGACCCCTTCAGAGACCTGAGGATAGCTCCTTTGCCTCGGAGGGTTCATAACCCATTCTTAGTTCTCTATTTCTGCTGTCAATAATTCACCATTTTTATAAGTGAGATAAGACCAGGCCCTTGTGAGCCAGGAGAGATTGGAGAGGTGATGAAAGTTATGTGTTTTACCCATGATCCAAGGACTCCTGGCAAGCTGCCCTACCTGAGCTAGGGTTGTGCCCTGGCTGCAGAAATGCCTGTCAGTGCAGAAAGTCTTTCTTTTGAGCCTGGGAATAAAAGTCCCGGGGTGAGTTCTTAACCCTTTCCAGCCTTCCCACCCACTGTGGCTATGACTATCTGATTTGTAGTTTCTTGGGTGCCTCCAGACCCAGGACAGCCCCATGCTATTGTTCTCCCACCCCAGAGCACACTAGGTAGGCTGCTTCCTCTGGGAGCTTATTCCACAGAATAAATATTTCACTTTTTCCGGGTCCTCACTGTCCAAGGTCCAAGGCTACCTTCCATGCTGTGGAATTTATAATCCAATACTTCCCAGCCCTAGCAGGTTGGGAGGAGGGAAAGGACCTCAGAACTTTCCCTCTTATCCATTCTCCCTGCTCCAGGGCAGGCTTCTGTCCTGGAGCACAGGATTGCCTTGTGAACTGTACCCAGTCTCACATCCATCCCCTTGCTCCCCATGTATCTGCCTGCCTTAGTTCTAGTGATTGGCACAGTCATAATTCAGTACTTTATTCACTTTCACACAAAATCACACTGTTCAGGAAAGTGGCTCAGACAAAGGAAGAAGCGTTAAGAGATCTAGATTCAAATGAACTTTCCTCCAGTGGTTACAGTACAGAGACCCTCAGACACATCAAATGTGCTCACAAATAGACAAGGCAGACACTTGCAATGTTCCTCCCTTCTGTGTTTTTCAGTGAAGACACAGGAGAAGAAAAAGGAGGGGGACATAATTACAGTAAATACGGTAATCTCTTGGTTTGCTAGTTCAAGTGCTGGACTTGGGACTTAGGAGTGCCAAATGGGGGCCACTTGGAACCTACATTGGACCTGGGCTGAAAGACAGGCGAGAGACAGTTTAGCTCATTTCCGGGAACCTTTTAGCCTAAGATCAGCACGGGAAGGAGAAGCACTGCCCTTTCTTCAGCAGGAGCCTCAGCCTCTCTCCCTGTGAGCCCAGAGCCCAGCATTCCCTCCTGCGAAATGCAAGAGAGGAATGCAATCCTCCTGTCTGTAACAAGGCAGCTGCTTCAGGTGTGTTGAGCTTTTGCTAAATCCTTCGCTCTCCTGACTGTTCAAAGTGGACCCCAAGGGAGAAGTCAGAGCAAACAGGTTGCAGCCTAGCAGGTATGTTTTTTCTTTTCTTTCTCTTTTACAGGGGACCGACTGCTCCATGCCAAAGGTATGTGGGAACACAAATGGATCTTGCATTTGAGGTCAACATTGTAGCTGTGAATCATGTTGGTCTTGCTGATCTCATTATTTCCAGGTTGGAAAAAAAAAAATACATGTAGAAAATCACTCAATGGGGCTGGGGATGTGGCTGGGCTGGGGATGTGGCTCAAGCGGTAGCGCGCTCGCCTGGCATGCGTGCGACCCAGGTTCGATCCTCAGCACCACATGCAAACAAAGATGTTGTGTCCGTCGAAAACTAGAAAATAAATATTGAAAAATTATCTCTCTCTCTCTCACACACTCTCTCTTTAAAAAAAAAAAAAAAGAAAAGAAAATCACTCAATATTGAACCCTGTTGCCCCTGCCCCCTGGGCACATGCTTACCTTCTAAAGAAATAATCACAGTGGAAACTTCAACTTTGCTTGAATTATCATGAGGCAAATAAACAGCAAACCCCCTCTTTTTGACAGGGCTGGAGTCCTCTGATCCAGAAAACACTAGTTCCAAAATGTAGGGGGCCAGGAACAACTTTGCCCTAGTTCCTCTTGCCTTGCTGAGTTAGTGTCGGCAGCACCCCCAGGGCCAAGCCCAGTAACATGACAGTCACAAGACCTCACCTCATTCAGGGGTCCCTCAGAGCCATGCACAGCCCTGTGGCTGAGTCGACTTTGGACCACTGAGTTTCTACCTGAGCTTATATAGGAGGACCTTTTCCCAGAGGACCCACTCTTTAATTCAGGTGTTCAGTGCCACCAGGCCCTCCTCCTTCCCCACAGCACAGTACAGCCATACCCAGGGGCATTGCATTAAAGTCATTCTGCATCTGGGACTAGTCAGGAGGCCACTGAACCTAATTTGATGAGTCAGCTGTGACACCTCCCTTCTCCGTGGATGGCTGTGTGACTGTTGCTGGGAAGGTCAGTGTTCACCACTGAGATGAAAATGTGACTAGATTATCTCCACAGAGAGGAGTGTTTGCTCTCCCACAATATGACCAGAGTCTAAAGTATTCTAAGCAAGGCCTTAGAGGCTATGGCTTATTTAATCAATTGGTTAATAGGGAAGGCGATTTTTCTGTACAAGAAGATACTTCGAAATGTTTTAGTTATATAATACACTTAGTCTAAGCCAGGAGTGGGCAAACTATGGCTCACAGGCCAAATCTGACCCTCCCCAACTTTTTTATAAATAAACTTTTATTGGCTGGGCCTGGTGGTGCAGGTTATGCCTGTAACCCCAGCGACGTGGAAGGCTGAGGCAACAGGATCGCTAGTTTGAGGCCAGCCTTAGTGAAACCATCTCCAAATAGGCTGATGGAGTGAGACTCAAATTTAAAAAAAAATTAAAAGGGCTGGTGATGTAGCCCAGTGGTAAAGTGCACCTGGGTTCAATCCTGGGTATGAAAACAAACAAACAAACAAACAAAAAAAAACCAAACTTTTATTGGAACACAGCCAGGTTTATTCTTTATGCACTGTGTGTGGCTGCTTTTGCCCTACAACAGCGGAAATGAATAATAGCAAAGGAAACTCTATGGCTCCTTAAGCGCAATATACTGCCTAACTCATCACAGAAAACGCCAACTCCTACTCTAAATGCAATCGACTTGATCCTAGGTTATTATGGAATATTCATAATAGACAACTACAAAAGTGACTAAACTATTTTTTGTAGATAATCACTTTTTTCTTTTTAGTTATAGATGGACACAATACCTTTATTTTATTTGTTCTTCTTCTTTTTTTTTTTAATGTGGTGCCAGTGATCACACCTGGTGCCTCATGCATGCTAGGCAAGCGCTGTACCCCTGAGCCACAACCCCAGACCCAATAATCACTTTTTAAATTATAAAACAATACATGATTACATGCTATTTGTAAAATGAAAATGCAGTATAAAACTAAAAATTCTCCTTTGGCCATCCTGCCACTCCTAAGTTCCTGTCCCCAACAAAACAGCAAGTGTGATGTGTTTAATGCAAGACCTTTTCTTTGCATTTGTATCTACTAATAAATATATTTGGCGTCACATCATTGTCATTCCGCATTTCCTCTCAACATGACTTGGAGACTTACATATCCATGCAGAACTCTTCCTCATTTTATGTCTGTTTATATAACCATTTCCTTTTTTTGATAGATGGTTAGGCTTTTTCCAATTTTCCAGATTTACCAATGAATCTCAGTTTATGTCTACTTGTTCAACTATGAAAGCGTTTCTCTAGAAGGTACTGAGAAGTTGAACCGCTGCACTACCGCATGTGTGGTTCGGTTTTTGATTCTGTCAAGCAGCTCTCCGCAGTGCTTATCCCAGATCGTACTCCACTGGCAGAGGAAGGTGGTTTCTGCTCCTCTACACCCTAAACAATGCTTGCTGATTATTCAACAGTTCATTATTATTTTCCATTTGGATGAGTGAGAATGACAACCCATTATTTTAATATTTTAATTTCCCTGATTATTATGGAGGTTGGGCATTCTTTTCATTTAACTCTTAACCTTTGTATTTTCTTTTCTTGAATCGTCTGTTCATATCCTTAGCCATTCTTATGTTGGGTTTTTCCACACATTTGTAGGAGTTTTAATATTTATTTTTTATTTTTATTTTTTGGCAGGGGTAGGGTACCAGGGACTGAACTCAGGGGCACTCAACCACTGAGCCACACCCCCAGCTCTATTTTGTATTTTATTTAGAGACAGGGTCTCACTTAGTTGCTTAGCGCCCACTTTTGCTGAGGATGGTTTTGAATTTGTGATTCTCCTGCCTCAGCCTTCTGAGCTGCTGGGATTACCTGCGTGCGCCACTGCATCCAGTTGATATTTATTCTTGATGCTAATCCTCTGAAACATAAATACACATTTAACATTGTTACTTGTTTTTAAACTTTTGTTTGTGTCATATTTTTGCAGAAGTTTCTACCATTGTTGTAGTTGTTGTTATTTTGATGTTGTTGAATCTATTAGTTTTCTCCTTTTGTATTTTATTTCTGAGTCTCATTTAAGAAAGCTTTCTCAGCTTCCAAGATTATGAAGGTATTTTGGCATGCTTTTTTAAAATTACTTTTTTAATTATTTTTTAAAACAATTTAATCATTTAAAAAAATGTTTTTTGACCCACCTAGAACTTATTTCAATAAATTATTCCAATAGCAGTTATTGAAAAGTTCATCTTTTCCACATTTACTTGAAATGTCACCTGTCTCATGTAGTAAATTCTCACACATTTATTTCTGGATACTCCATACTCTTATATTAATTGCCTCATCCTGAACCAGTTTCCACTATAGCTTCTATCTTTTCTAATTGACATTTTTTTCCTAATATGTAGGAAATCTCTTTGGGTTTTTGATATTTTATCTGGTTATCTTTCTGAATTGACTTTAATAGTTGGTGCTTATCCCAGATCATACTCCCACCCGCAGAAGAAGGGATCCCTTTGGAATTTCTGGATAGACAACTGTATTATCTATGCACAGTGAGAGTTTTGTTCCTTCCTTTCTTAGCTTAAATTCTTTTTTTTTTTCCTTATTGACTTTTTTGTCCCTTGAGTACAATGTTGAGCATTAACTCCCGAGGATCATCTTAGGGCTGATGCATAAGTTTGCGGGTTGTACAGTGTATGACTCTAGGGAGTATGGTTCATAAAACTTAGATGTTGGGCATTATTGTCATGGACCCAATTTTAATCCATTTTTATCTCATACTGTGAACCCATGTTTCCTGGAAACTTTGTGCGGTTCTTTAATGTTGGAGTTGAAACTGCTTCCCTCCAGAAGATTTATATTTGCTTTTGCTAGGAGCCTGGGGACATTACCAACTGCAACGATCATAACTTTGGGTTTACTGACCACACAAGTAGTATAAACTCTAACTGAAACCTACCTAATAATAGGCTTGTTGTTAGAAATTCCCCTCACCCCTATTTTATCCAGAACCAAGTCTGAGAAGCACATGGATTGCTGTGTCTCTTTCTGTGAGAGTCCTATTGAGGATACAGCCTATAGGGTGACCTGATCTTATGCTGAGCTCTTGATCTGACCTCCTCCTCTGCAACATTAGGCCCCAGGCTGTGTCTTCTGTTCTCCCGTTAACACCCAGGCTGCAGGCCTCTAGGAGTCTAGATAGCCCAGGAGGATCCCTGGCTCCCCTTCTAACTTCCCTGGCTTAGCATATCTTATACATTTTGGCCTTTCTAGACCTCCTTTACTTTCCTATCAGCTCAGTCATGAAGTAAAAACAATATTTAAAACAACTCTCTGGTATTTTTAGGAGTGCTGTATCAGTGCTGTATCTCTAAACACTTTCTCCATCTTAGTCCCAGGAATAAAATCTCTATTTTTAACTCTAATGAAGCTTATTCTAATGTTTTTATAATAAGATGTATAGTAAAACTTTTTGTTAACTATTCTGTGTCAAGTTAATGAAATTCTATTCCTTCTTACTAACCAAGAGTTTTCAAATCATGAATAGGTATTGAGTTTTATTAAGTAATTTTCAGCATCTATTAATTTCCTCATCTTATTTTTGAATGGGAGAAAAAGAATCGTTTTTTCCCTTCAACCCTCTTGAGGTTGTGCTGGGAGAATCCAATAAGACGACAGATTAACAAGAGAAAAACAAGCAAGTTTATAAACATGTAGTGTCTATGACCCAGGAAGAAAGCAACTCTCTCTGGAAAGTGATGCTCAAAGCAGTAGCTAGGAACTCTGCCTTAATATTTCAGCAAAGAACAGTGACATCTTAGAATAACAACAAGGCAAAGGGGCGAGCAGTTTCAGGCTTCCAATGATGAGAAAACTGTGGGAAGGAGTGAAGTCTGTTCCCATATTCCTTTTGCCCTGTTTGTGTGTCAGAAGTGCCAAGAAGTGTTCTCCAGTAAAGGAGGATTTAAATTCTATCTGTAGGATGGAAAATGGGGAAGGAAGGGAGAAAGACCTTTTGTCTTAGTAATTGTCCTGTTTTTAGGCAAACTGAGCGAAGCAGAACATCTCCCTTAGTTTTAATTGTCTTCAGCCCAACAATCTTCAACATTTTGGGGAGACATGTTTTGGTTTCTTTAATTTTCATTGTGAATGGACTCTTAGATAGCTAATC